AAAACCCAAAATCATTGAAATTGACGTATTGTTCGATATTCAATGCCCTAGCACTAAGTTAATCCCACGAGTGCATAAAAGATTGACATAACTGCTATACTGAATGGTAATACTCAGCGTAAACTTGTTATGTCAGGCATAAAGTACTAAACCCACGAATGCATATTACGCATATTACAATTTACGAAGCATTTTAAATTCCCATGAGCAAACAAACGTTCACTTTACAAAGATATTTTAATTTTTTAAAACAAATTAATCACCCTGTCAAAATCCTTTGTGTTACGGCATTGAAATTCGAACAATACGTTATTTCAATGATTTTGGGTTTTTTTGAGACACCCTGTATATCTAATATGTATATATTATTCCAAAAACAATAGCTGCATTGACACCATTGTCTTAGCTATAATCTACGGAATCTATACGCCCGCGCCTGCATTGTGAGGTAAAGAATAATATAAGACTCCTTTTAAGCTTCCACTGGTTAAGAAAAGATGGGACATCTTCATAACCTGTCAGCAAAAGATGGGACATCTTTCTGACACAAGAGTTTTCACTAAAAGTATTCTAGATATTATTCCAAAACCTATAGCGCAAGCTGCACCGCCTTAATCTAACTTAGCGTGATGTAAAGAATAATATAAAACTCCTTTTAAGCTTCCACTGGTTAAGAAAAGATGGGACATCTTCATAACCTGTCAGCAAAAGATGGGACATCTTTCTGACACAAGAGTTTTCACTAAAATATTCTAGATATTATTCCAAATCCTATATAGCGCAAGCTGCATCGCTTTACTCTAACTTAGCCTGATGTAAAGAATAATATATAAGACTCCTTTTAAGCTTCCACTGGTTAAGAAAAGATGGGACATCTTCATAACCTGTCAGCAAAAGATGGGACATCTTTCTGACACAAGAATTTTCACTAAAAGTATTCTGGATATTATTCCAAACCTAGCGCTATCGCTGCATGCGCCGCTTTACTCTAACTTAGCGTGGTGTAAAGAATAATATTATAGACGTACTCCTTTTAAGCTTCCACTGGTTAAGGAAAGATGGGACATCTTCATAACCTGTCAGCAAAAGATGGGACATCTTTCTGACACAAGAGTTTTCACTAAAAGTATTCTGGATATTATTCCAAAACCTATCGCTATCGCTGCATGCGCCGCTTTACTCTAACTTAGCGTGGTGTAAAGAATAATATTATAGACTCCTTTTAAGCTTCCACTGGTTAAGAAAAGATGGGACATCTTCATAACCTGTCAGCAAAAGATGGGACATCTTTCTGACACAAAATTTTTCACTAAAAGTATTCTGGATATTATTCCAAAACCTAGCGCTATCGTCTGACTCTAACTTAGCGTGATGTAAAGAACAATATAAGACTCCTTTTAAGCTTCCACTGGTTAAGAAAAGATGGGACATCTTCATAACCTGTCAGCAAAAGATGGGACATCTTTCTGACACAAGAGTTTTCACTAAAAGTATTCTAGAGATTATTCCAAAACCTATAGCGCAAGCTGCACCCCCTTAATCTAACTTAGCGTGATGTAAAGAATAATATAAGACTCCTTTTAAGCTTCCACTAGTTAAGAAAAGATGGGACATCTTCATAACCTGTCAGCAAAAGATGGGACATCTTTCTGACACAAGAGTTTTCACTAAAAGTATTCTGGATATTATTCCAAAACCTAGCGCTATCGCTGCATGCGCCGCTTTACTCTAACTTAGCGTGGTGTAAAAAATAATATAAGACTCCTTTTAAGCTTCCACTGGTTAAGAAAAGATGGGACATCTTCATAACCTGTCAGCAAAAGATGAGACATCTTTCTGACACAAGAGTTTTCACTAAAAGTATCTAGATATTATTCCAAAACCTAGCGCTGTTGATGTGGCATACTCCAAATTTGATATTTCAACTATACTCTATAGGTACTAGCCTGTCAAATCTGAAAGCCAGGGGTACGGCTCATCTCCGCGTTTACTCATCACTAGCTCGCCCGGGAAATAATCTGGCGATGCCCAGCGTAATGTCTACAGGGCCGTAGCGAGGGGGGGTATTGGGGGGGTGGTTAACCCCCCCAACTTTTGACATATTCGGAAAATGGGATGGCCATTCGGAAAATTACGGCAATTATAGTATATGGTTTTTGTACGAAAATCATGAGATTCAGGCAATTTTTAGCTGATATCTAACTTTTGGTATGTGCGGAAAAATTTTTTGACCCTTAAAATGGTACACTGACCGAAATTTTTGTGGGGACGGGGGGGGGGGGAGGTCGCCAAGAATTTTCGAAAGTTCGGAAATTTTCTTCGTCATTCGGAAATTTTTGGCCTACACCCCCCCAACTATAAATGCTAGCTACGGCACTGAATGTCTAATCAGAATGATATCAAATTTAGTTAAATGGGCCATTTTAGACTAATTTTCGATTCTTTTGAAAATGCTTACGCAAGTTTAATTTAAACGCTTGTATCTCAGTCAATATTTCGTGATATCTCATGTATAACCTATCAAAATTTAAGTTAGCCTTTTATGAATACAGCTACATTTATTTGAGCGACGTATAGCTCTTATAGTTTTTTCGCTGTGATAGATCAAACGCCTGAACTTTTTTTGCGCCACCCGGGATATATAAGTAAATAAATGTTATTTGTCTTGTGCTTCCTTGTATCAAAATATAGAAATGAGTATATTAAATAACAAATATTGTACAATCAACTCGCGGTTGTGATAGCCCTGCTTGAAAGCCGTGGTATCTAGCATACTGTATACTAAAGAAATATAATAACTGATTGCGTGCTGCAATACCTATAAGCTATAGCCTTTTGACTATTACCTAACCTTACTGATTGAAAATACTTAGCATTAATCTTTAATCTTTATTCTTTAATAAGCAGCCATAAAAATATTGCCAGTTTGTTCGATCTTGATCTCCATTCTGAATCCATACACACGATTGTCAAGCAGAATGCACTCTTCTTCCGACCATTTTGGCGCAATTTGAACTTTGCGCGGCATTGTCTGCTAACATTATTATGAATTGGTGATGACAACCTGGTTTGTATGTTAGCTCAGTTAGTTATTTGCTACATCATATCTATGGGGTTAAATTTCATGTACGCATAAATTATTTCACTATAAATTCATTATACATGTCACCACTCTTACCACCTCGACTAATAATGCTGTGGTAACCAACACCTTCAAGATAATTCAATTTATAGGCGTGCGGGTCGTCATGTCGATAACTATGTGTGACGTTCTAAGGCCCGGTGAAGTTCTCAGAAACGAACATATGACGTTTCTCATGGACAAAATCGATATGAGGCTTCCTAGCAGTTCTGTGGTTTATGTGCAGTATAACAGCAACTGGTATAGTTCAGTCCCAACACTTTATTGGCCGGTAGGCTAGTGGTCGCCCATAATTAAATCAGGTATGTTTTTGCTCTAGAATTTTTCCTGCATTGGTTATTATTAAAACTAAAAGTCACTATCGCAAGGAAAGTGCTCCCAAAGGGATCAAAGACAGCATGAACAATTTGACAAGCTTTCAAAATAGTGCAATGAATTTCTTTTAAATTCCTGTGGTTTCAGTTAAACGTATATCGGTATATATGCTTTAATGCTATACTGCACGGCCTGGTAGGCCTACCTGGTACTTATCAGGTGTTCTTTTATTACAATGACAGAAAACAATTGAAACACTGTTTATAATTTTAACAATGAAGTAATTATTGTGGAACATGAAAATATATTGTAACATGCAGTTGATATAGTTCAGTCCAAACCGCTATTATCGCAGTGAGTGGTCTTATAGGAAATCAAGGTATGTTTTTATAGAATTTTTCACATTGCTGTAATTAAAATAAAGTTATCGCAAGAGGAAAGTGCTGCTTGCTCCTCCCAAAAGGATCAGGCAGTATGAACGAATTGACAAGCCGTTCAAAATGGTGCAATGAGGTATTTTTAAGTTTGCTGTGGTTTCGTTAAACGTATATGCTATATGCAAAACTGGTATTGACCCTGGTAGGCCTATTGCAATGACAGAAACAAATTGAAGGCTGTTTATGTTTAACAATGAAGTATTAAATTATAGCGAAGATTGATAAAACTAGAATAGTGAAGCGAATAGTGCGAATAGTGCGAATAGTCGACGAATAGTACGAATAGTCCGCGAATAGTCGACGAATAGTGCGAATAGTCCGCGAATAGTCGACGAATAGTGCGAATAGTCCGCGAATGGTCGACGAATAGTGCGAATAGCCGCGAATAGTCGACGAATAGTACGAATAGTCCACGAATAGGCGACGAATAGTACGAATAGTGCAATAGAGACTTTGCAAGGCTTTGCAGCAGTGCTGTAGAACTAAATTTACCGGGGGGGGGGCTCTGTTGACAAACATGAAATCGTGAAAACATTCGTCGACGTACGTCAATGACGTCATACGTCTAGTGATTGTCATCAGTGGCGCGTGGCCGGGGGGCAGGGGGGGGGGCATGGCCCTCCCCTATTGTTGACACCCGTCGTAAAATTGCCAATGCTGCCGGAAATTGTCGGAAAATTGTCAAGGCTGTCGGAAATTGTCGAAGTTGTCGACG